TATATTAAGGCCTCTTATTAAGATTTTGCTTTAGGCCTCCGATGAGGTTGGGCCGCCCCTGCTAATACCAATACAAAGTTTAAGCAAAAACTACTGAATTTGTAACTACTACACTACTTTCGCTCCTGCTTATAATTATTTAATACTCCTTATTAATATTATCAAGATAAAGTAGAATGGAACAAATTAATGTGTCTTCGTTGTCCATAACTATGGCAATGTTTAAATCTGTTAAGGAGCTTTAGCCATGACAAAACTTGAAGATTCTAGAAGAAGAAGAAATGAGAGAAAATGCAATCTCTGTTATTAGCTATCGAAGAAGAGGAATGAATAAGTGTACAGCACTATCAACTAACTACTGTATTTATACAAAAATGAACTAACTAACTTTTTAGTAGTTATAACTAATTACTACTAACTAATAAATAGTTGGGGCTCACTATACTCAACACTTCCCCCCAAGCTGAGGAATGAAATACACCTTTCATTCCCAGCTTGTCTAATAGGTATTCATGTTGTGGCTTGCATAGAATCTTAGTCAATAGATCTGCTAGCTGCTCAGTTGTTTTGATGTGTTGAGTTCTAATCAGACCTTGAACAAGCTTTTCTCTCAAAAAATAACAATCAATGTCAATGTGTTTGGTTCGTTCATGAAAGATAGGATGAGCTGCAATTTGTACAGCGGCCTTGCTATCACAATGCAGTTGTATAGGCCGTACTAGTTCAGTTCCCAACTCCTTAAAGAGTCTTGTTATCCACACCACTTCTGCTACAATAGAGGTCATACTTCGAAATTCAACTTCAGCAGAGCTCCTAGATACAATTCCCTGTTTTTTTTTACTTCCATGATATCATTGCTTCACCAAATTTTACTGCATAGCATGTCACTGATCTCCTTGACTCTACACAAGCTCCCCAATCAGAATCACAGTATGCAGTCAGAGATTTGCTTACTTTTGCAAGCATAAACAGTCCAAGTCCAGGAGCAGTTTTGATATACCTTACCACTCTTTGGGTAGCTTCCATGTGAGATACCTTATGTGCATGCATATACTAACTGAGCACTTGAACCACAAAGGTAATGTCGGGCCTTGTCATGGTTAAATACAGCAACCTTCCAACTAGTCCCTGATAGCCTCCCTTGTCTTCAAGTTCCTTATCAACTGTAGATCTAACATCTGATATTTGCTTATCAAACTCAATGGATGTGATCTTGTAATTGAACACCAGGGGTGTTGCTGCTGGCTTTGCACCTGCTAGTCCTAGTTCAGAAACTAGTTCTAGAGCATACTTCCTTTGGCACATAACTATTCCTTCCTGAGATCTAGAGAACTCAATCCCCAGAAAGAATTTAAGTTCACCAAGATCTTTCATCTTGAACCTCTACTGCAAATCCTTTTTGACTTGTTTGATCCGTCTTAGACTACTTTCAGTTACTAGAAGATCATCCACATAGACTAGAATGACTACTAACTATGAATTCATCTTCTGAGTAAATAAAGAATAGTCATAGTGTCTTTAAGAAAATCCCATATCTATAAGAGCTTCAGTTAGTTTCAGGTTCCACTGCCTATGTGCCTGTTTTAATCCATAGAGTGACTTATATAATCTACACACATGTTGACACCCCTCTGGCTTGAAAAGGCATCAGGAACATGCATATACACCTCTTCAAGAAGATCTCCTTGAAGAAAAGCATTGTGAACATCCATTTGGAACACATACCATCCTGAAGCAGCAGCTAATGCAACTACAACCCTCACAGTAACCATTTGGCTACAGGAGAGAAGGTTTCTGTGTAGTCCAACCCTTCTTGTTTACTGTAGCCCTTGGCCACCAGCCTGGCCTTATATCTCTCCACTTCACCAGATGACTTGTATTTGACTTTAAGCACCCACTTGCAACTTATAGGAACCTTGACAGGAGAAAGAGGAACAATAGACCAGGTATTGTTTTCTTCAAGAGCTGTGATTTCAGCTTGCATAGCCTCAACCCACTTGGGATCCCTACTGGCTTCTAAGAAGAATTTGGGTTCTACAATAGCTGAGAATGTAGCAAGGGAAGTTTTATAAGCAGAGGACAACTGATCATAAGACACATAGTTTGACATTGGATATGCAGACTTCTTTGGTGGAACAACATAATCTTCTAGCCACACAGGTGGCTTGGTGGTCCTAGAGGTCTTCCTGAGTACTATGGAAGGGGCAGATGGTTCACAGGCTGAGGCATAAGGAGAAATTGGTGAGGATAGATTAGACTGACCATGATCTTGAGGAACTGAGATAGAAGGAGAAGAGGTCTCAACTGCATCAGTATAGTTCTGGCTAGAAGAGGCTGCAGGAAAATCAGCATCAGCAGAAGAAGAATCATCAGAGGAAGAAGATGGTTGTATAGGTTGTTCTACAAACTCCAATACAGGAAATAAGGGAGAAGCACTAGAAGACATGCTTGAAGGGGGAACACTTCTTCTTTGAACACAGTGTCCCTGCTGACATAGAACTTTTTGGAGCACAAATCATAGAGGATATAGCCTTTCTGAGAGGAGGAATACCCCATGTGAACAGCTGGAGTTGCTCTGTGGCAAAACTTATCCTCTTTCTTCATAGTAGTGGCATAACAAAGGCTGCCAAATACTCTCAGATGCTGTAATGAAGGACTTCTTTGGAAAAACTTCTCAAAGGGAGATTTGCCTTGTAGTAATATAGTAGGCAATCAGTTTAGAAGGTAGACTGCAGTAGAGACACATTCTCCCCAGAACTTAAGGGGCAAGAAAGCTTGAAATCTGAGTGCTCTAGCCATGTCTAGGATAGACCTGTGCTTTCTCTCAATGGCCTCATTTTGTTGAAGGGGGTATATGTGCAAGAACTTTGATGTACTATACCTTGAGTCTTCAACAAGGTCTGCATCTGGTCATTAAAAACCTCTGTGCCTTTGTCTGTTCTTAGGCATTTGAGTTTGTGATCAAACTGTGTTGAGGCCATTGCTATAAAGTTTTTAATCACCTCAACAGTATCTGATTTAGAATGTAATAGAAATAGTGAGGTATATCTGGAATAATCATCTATCAATGTCAAAATATATCTCTTTCCATCATGCGTAGGCACCCTATAGGGTCCCCAGACATCACTATGCACAATATCAAAGATATATTTAGAGCAAGAAGAACTAGTAGGAAAAGGTAGTCTTTATTGCTTGGCTATAAGACATACAGTACAATGATGTTCCTTCAACTACATACTATGCAAAGTATCTACATATCTCAAGACCTTTACGGGAGCATGACCTAATCTTTGATGCCACAAAGATGATACAACATAAGTCTTATTGTTTGCTAGATTACTATATTTATTGATGTCACCTGGAATGGTATGTACAATTGAATAGGAATGAGTGACTTGGTGATTGAGTATTGCTCTGTCATATGCCTTGAGAATGTACATACCCAGCTCTTCCTTACCAATCTCCAACATCTTCCTACTTGAGAGTTCCTGAAAGATACAGAAATCAGGGTAAAATGCTGCTAGACATTGCAACTTCTTTGTGAGTTTGGACACTGAGAGGAGATTATATTTAAACTCTGGAATGTGGAGAATGTTCTGAACCTTTTTATCTTTGAAAAAAGAAAAAATACCAGTATGAGCAATAGATACATGTTCTCTAGTTGGTAAATGGATTTTACTCCTAACACTTTTTGGTATTTCATCATATTTCTCTAGCATGCGCAAACTATGAACCATATGGTTTGTTGCTCATGTGTCTATAATCCAGTTACTATGCATCAAGCTTGTCATGTATGCATGTATACTACCCGTTATCCCTGTAGTGACAGCATTGGCAACAGGTTCAGCCTCCTTATCCTTGTTCAGCAAATGTATAATCTGCTGGTACTGTTCCTGAGTAAAGAAGTGAGCTAGAGAAGTTGGTGTCTGATGTCCTTGACCTTGTGACTCTGAAGTTGGAATACTAGAACTTGTCACACTGTTAGCCTGAGCATTTTGTGCCCCTCCTTTTCTTTTGTTTTTGAAGTTAGAAGGATAGCCATGAAGTTTAAAACAGTTCTCTCTAGTGTGACCCTTATATTTGCAGTAATCACACCAAACTACCCCTTTACCAAATGAGTTTCTAGGTCTATAACCTCCATTAGAATTAGTATTAGTCTGTCCTCTACCATTGTAACCTCATGTATAACATCTATTAGAGTTATTGTTTGTATGTCCTTCACCATTGTAACCTCCAGTATACACCTTATTGCTCATCATAGCAGCTTCATTACTTTCAACATATATATCTTTTCCATTAATTCTCTAACTCTTCACATTAACTATCATAGCATAAGCTTGGTTCAGATTAGGCAAGGGTCGAGTCATGAGGACTTGATTCTTTGCATTCTCATAGGATTCATTTAGCCCTGTGAGAAACTGATACAATTTCTGTATCTGATAGTGTTATACATGTTTCCTTGATTCAACACAACCACAAGTAGGTGGTGGAGTTAAAGTTTCATATTCATCCCACAACTCTCTCAGTTTAGTGTAATACACAGACATAGAGGATATGCCTTGAGTTAATGTAGCAATTTCCCTTTGCGAATAGCAAGCTCTAGATGTATTATCTTTATCAAATCTTTCCTTTTCTCCACTAATTAAACTTGGTGAAACTGTGTTCATTATCCAAGCAAGTACAATAGCATTGCATCTATCCCACAGTTCATGTAAACTAGTATCATATCTGTTTTTTCTACAAGTATCTAGGACAAAGCCTAATTAATTTTTACCATGCAATACGATTTTTATAGATCTACTCCAAATAGAATAGTTTTCTGAACTTTGAAGCTGAATAGAGATGAGAACAGAACCTTGAGTATCGGAAGGATGAATGTAGAGAGGATGATTGTGGTCGATAAGTTCGGTAGACATTGAAGCAGAAACATGAGAACCAACTACCTCTTCATTGATCGACATTCTCACAGTAGCAAATGCTTTACCAGAGATCTTCACAATTTTATCAAATTCACATAAATTTAGACACAATCTGACCTCGATTCAACCAGAAAATAAAAAAAATTCCTAAACCCTAGGATGAGCAGAGAGATTTCTGTGTTGAAAAATAGCTCGATCAAATCGATGAAAGGTTGATGCTTCTATACAGTTGAATTATTCAAGTTCTCTCACAAATGAGCTTAAGGAGATCGATCACCGTGCTCTGATACAATGTTAAGGAGCTTCAGCCATGGTAGAACTTGAAGATTCTAGAAGAAGAAGAATTGAGAGAAAAGACAATCTTTGTTATTAACTATCAAAGAAGAGGAATGAATAGTTGTACAATACTATCAACTAACTACTGTATTTATACAAAAAAATCAACTAACTAACTTTTTAGTAGTTATAACTAATTACTACTAACTAGTAATAAATAGTTGGGGGCCACTATATTCAACAAAATCCAAAAATTCAAATGAATTTAACGCTTTTATCTTAAAAGAAACAGTATTGAGCTTCTAAAAAGAGAAAAAAAGGAAAGAAGACATTCCTCAAAAGTAACAAGATACAACTGGAATGAATCTCACTTATGCAGTCACTTCCATAAGTTTTCAGTGGGTAATTAGAGTAAGTTCGGTATTGGTCTATCCATAGATGGAGTAAAGGAAAAGAAAATAATGATAGACAGATTCAAAAGAGAGCAACCATTGATAAGCTGTTGTATGAAAAGGTTAAGAGTTCAATACTTTTTGGTCAAAAACATCATGTGAAATTGTGATCTCCCTCTAAAAGAATAAATACTGTAACCTCTTATTGTCTCCTCTTAGGGGGTGTAGCCTTGTAGCCAAAGGAAACTTGAAGTTCTCCTCTCACTTTTTCTCCTTTCAATAATGCCATTCATACCCTCAAGTTTTCTGCTGCTATCTTTTGTGCAGCGACTTTTTCAAAGAGGCTTGTTTGTTTTTGGAAATTTACATGCAATTCTCTACTATAATACTGTTACAAAATAGTGGTATTCTCTTTGCTTTTTCTTTTTATAATCATCAGTTGTACTAAGATCCTCTTCATCAAAAAGGTGAAGCTAGTACTCCTGCAGTAGAAAAAGATAGATTCAAATCTTCTTATTTCATGAGATTCTCATGTTTATTAGTGGTTCATTAGTAACTTCATATTTAGATCTACTCGAAAAATATTTATCATGTCTTGTAATTTTAGTTTGATCAGAATGATTATTACGTTTTTCTTAATATATATGATCCTGGAAGAGCTTTAAGTTCACTTAACCTTAATCTAGTCCTAAAAAATGTCTTCTTCCGCACGTACCTGGCATTGTACTTCTTTTCATACACTTTTTTTTTTGTCATACTTGTTACTACTTTATAGTATACTCCTACA